GAAAAGAACTTTCACTCTAAGAAACTGGAAAAAGATGTTATATACATATACATATCTATCTATCTATATATGTATATATATATATATATATATATATATATATATATATATATATATATATATATATATATGATGGATTCTCCTGTCGGTACGACAGATGAGTAGGCAGACAAGTCAGTTGCCGAGGTGGGTCCTCATATGGGAATGACCAAGACCAATTCGTGAAGCACACAGTCGGCCACAGAAGCTGCATGGGAAGGACTCCACAGAAGTGGAGCACTGTTTCCTCCTCTCCTTCTTTGCCTTAATTTCAGCTACTCTGTTGGCATTGGTCTTTTGTGTCTTGTGCACAATGGTGTCTCCAAAGAGCTCTGTCACAGGCAGTTGCTTCCCAGGAGTTCACATCAAAGTTGCACCTCTTGAGATTCCCCTTCAGAGTGTCTGCACCTCTTGAGATTCCCCTTCAGAGTGTCTGCACCTCTTGAGATTCACCTTCAGAGTGTCTGCACCTCTTGAAGGGTCTTCCCTGGTCGCAGCACCCATCGTTCAGCTGTCCCTACAGTAGCATCTTCAGGATTCTACCATCCTCCATTCGGATGAAGTGTCCGGTCCATCTCAGTTGGCACTTAATGATCAAGCACTCAATTCTAAGGAGCTCACACTTCTCCAGGACCTGAAGGTTGGATCTTCCACAGACATCATCAGTGAAACTGCTCTAGTTGCTTGATGTGCCGGCGATAGGTGGTCCATGTCTCGCAGCAGTACAGAAATGTGTTCAAGACCACAGCTCTGTACATGACAATCTTAGTGGAGAGGCAGATGCCACAGTCTTGCCAAAACCTCTTTGTCAGCTGGCCGAAGACTGCGCTCGCCTTTCCAATGCACAGCATCACCTCAGCGTCAAGGGATCCACTACTCATAATTGTGCTACTCAGGTAGCAGAAATTATCCACAGTTTTAATCTCTGTATCATTGATGATAATGGGAGGAGGTGGTGGTGCATTAGCAGCCTGTGATGGTGAGGGCTGGAACATAGCTTCGGTTTTTCCGAGGCTGATTGTTAATCCGAATCGTCTATAGGCAACTGCAAAGTAATCTGTTATGTACTGCAAGTCTTCAAGGGAGTGTGCAACCAGTGCACAGTCATCAGCAAATAGGAAATCCCATTGGATGGCCTCGAGCACTCTAGTCTTAGCTTTGAGTCTTTGCAGGTTGAAGAGTTTCCCATCAGTACAAAATCGGATGTATACTCTCCTCTGTTGCATTCGCGGAAGGCATCAAGCAGCATTGATGTAAACAGGATGGAGAAGAGTCCTGCTTCATTCCATTTCTCACTTGGAATGATCAAAGGCATCACCATTTTCTTGGACTCTGGCTTGCATGCTGTCGTGAAAGGAGGCGATCAGTGCTGTCGGCTTGTCTGGACATCCAAACTTTTGCAGAATCTTTCATAGACCGTTCCGGTTCACGGTATCGAAGGCCTTGGTGAGGTCTACAAACACCAAGTCATGATTCTGCTTGCGGCATTTTTCCTGTAACTGGCGGACAGCAAGAACCATGTCGCTGGTGCCCCTGCCTGCACGAAATCTGCACAGGGATTCAGGAACAATGGAATCAGCAATATGTGTCATGAGTCTATTTAGGATGACCCTGGCAAGAATCTTCCTGGCGATGCAAGGAAGTGATATCCCGCGGTGATTATCACAGGATGTCTTGTCTCCCTTCCTTTTGTAGATGTGCATTATAGATACATCTTTGAAGCCTTGTGGGACTTGCCCTACTTCCCAGATGAACCTGAACAGGGATGTTAGCTGCTCTAATAGCACATCACCTCCATTCCTGTAAATGTCAGCATGGATTCCATCTGCTCCAGGTGCCTTTCCAGGTGTTGTCTGCTTCAAAGCCTTGATAACCTCTGCACTAGTTTGGGGGTCTGACAGGGATTCCTTCATTTAAAGCTGAGGCAGGAATGCAATTGTCTCTTCAGAGATGATCGAGTCTCTGTTCAGGACACTGTTGAAGTGTTCTGCCCAGCATGCAAGGATATCAGTCTTTCACAGTTAGCAGAGTGGACTGGTCAGAAGTTCGGACTGGGGTCGAACCAGATACTTTGGGTCCATACACTATGCAAAGGCCATCATGGAGTGAATTCATGTCGTGGTTGTTGGCTGCTGCTTGCAGCTCAACAGCTTTCTTTTCCCACCAGTTGTTCTTCATCTTCCGCAGTTTCTGCTGGAGATGTTGTTTGGCCCACTGGTAATTCTGTTTCTTCATGCTGCTTGTCTTGTCAACAAGATGATCCTTGTGGGCCTTGTGCAGCTTGTCGATGAGCTTCTTGATATCTGCTTCATTCTCATCGAACCAGTCGGTGTTTCCTCTCCACAAACCCAAGAGTATGTGCAGCAGCACTGTAGACAGCCTCATGGAAGGACCTCCATTTATCTTCCAGGCTATCATGTTCTTGTTCGGTATTAGACAGGGATTCCTGGAGACTTTGCTGTAGTGCTTCCTTGTTGGGAATTAGCTGTGCGATGTTCAGCTTCCAGAGGGGCTTGTCTCTGGGCGTTTTTTCTTCCAGGCCAGCTGTATGTTCATCTTACTCTGGAGCTGGCGATGATTGAACCAGCAATCTGCTCCTCTCATGCAGCATGTAATGTGAACATCACATCGGTCTCTGTGGCGCACTATAACATAAGCAAGCATATGCCACTGCCTTGATCAAAGATGCATCCAAGTGTTTTTGAACTTGTCTGCTTTCTGGAAGATCATGTTGGAGATGGTCAGCTGGTGCTGGGCACATACTGAGAGTGGTCTCAGTCCATTGGAGTTGCAATTTCCATCCCTATGGCGTCCTAGGACGTTCGACCAGAAGGAATGATCGACTCCAACTCATGCATTGAAATCTCCAAGGATGTTGAGCTTGTCCCTACTGTTGACTCCCGAAACCATGCAGTTGAGATCCTAGTAGAAGGCTTGCTTGGTCTCGTCAGGGTTGGCCATATTAGGAGCATAGGTGCTAATGATGGTGGCAAAGCAGTTGTGAGCTTGAGACGCAGGGTCATCAGTTGATCATTGATCCCACAGGGTTGACTGTCTAGCTGTCTTGTAAACTTGGTATGAATAGCAAATCCAACGCCGGAGGTTCTTGAGGCGTCTCCTGGCTGCCCAATCCAGTAGAAAATGTATCCTCCACTAACTTCTTCAAGCTGTGTCTCCCCAGGAAATCTAGTCTCACTCAAAGCTGCCCTATCAACCTGGTATTGGCCTAGCATTCTAGCTATGAGCGCAGTACATCGCTCTGCTCTGTCTCCTCTATCTAGCACATTCCATACATTCCATGCCTCAAATGTGAGGGGCTTACTCGTTTTCTTTTTGTTGTTTCGACCGCTTATATGGATGGCCAGACAGATGCGATTTCCTGCCAGGTGCGTTGCAAGGTAGGCTTTCTTTAGGGATCCTTTTATCTCCCCCTTTATCAGTGCTATCCCTGATGAGGGCTGCTCTGTCGCTGTGAGAGGATACGAACACTGCATTAACCCTTTTCTACAGTGAACCTGTACATGAATTTTTAACAGATGCAGAGAATACCACGTGCAAGACAGTCCCAGCAGGTGCAGTTTTGTTGATTGGAGTATCCGTCTCCTCGGAAGATTTCCAGCCAAGTATACAGAGCTCTTCCCACCCTTAGGAGTAGTGGCAGATTAAAGGGTAACTCCACCCTCCCCACAAACTCCTCAACCAGAGCCTCACCACTGGTTGCCAGTCATGTCGCCCATATATATATATATATATATATATATATATATATATATATATATATATATATATAGATATTATATATATATATATATATATATATATATATATATATATATATATATATATATATATATATATATATATATATATATATAGTATATATATATATATATATATATATATATATATATATATATATAATATATATATATATATATATATATATATATATATATATATATATATATATATATATATATATATATAATATATATATATATATATATATAATATATATATATATATACATTTATATATATATATATATATATATATATATATATATATATATATATTATATATATATATATATATATATATATATATATATATATATATATATATATTATATATATATATATATATATATATATATATATATATATATAATATATAATATATATATATATTTATTTATTTATCCATATGTATATATATATATAATATATATATATATATATATATATATATATATATATATATATATAATATATACACACAACATACACATACATATACATACATACATATGTATACACACACACGCGCACATATCTATATCTATTTATATATCTATATCTATCTATATATATGTGTGTGTTCTTGTGTACCTCTGTGTGTGTGTGTGTGTGTTCTTTCTTTCTTGAGTATTTGTTTCTGTGGTGTTTGTTTGTGTGTTTGTGCATGTGTGTGTGTGTTGTGTGTGTTTATTGTGTAAATGATGTCTTTTATATATATATATATATATATATATATATATATATATATATATATATACATATATATATATATATATATATATATATATATATATATATATATATATATATATATATATATATATATATATATATATATATAGTATATATATACGTGTGAGTGAGTGTGTGTGTGTGTGTGTGTGTGTGTGTGTGTGTGTGTGTGTGTGTGTGTGTGTGTGTGTGTGTGTGTGTGTGTGTGTGTGTGTACGAAATGCTTACCAGTAGGTGAAGTTGAAGAAGTCGGTGATGAGATTATAGTTTCGGAAGATATAACCTCTGAGAATTGTGACAGGCATTTTTCTGTTTTAAAAAGAAAGATCTTAGAAAAAGAAAATAAATAGATATGACTCCGCTGTTATAAATGTACAGTATAAATAATATATACCTCAACGACGAAACTACATTTACCATTGTAGGCAGAAGTGACAGTATCACAGTAGGTCCCGCTTGTACCGTCCGGACATATGCAACTACATGATTTGTCCAGGTATCCACTGTTCGAACAAGGATCACTGCCCAGCGAACACTTGCTCAGCAACTTGTCCGCACACTGGTACATAGTGTTTGCCAACAGTTTGTCCATGTGAGACATCTGAGAGCGCTGTCCAAGAACCCCTTGGTATAAGGGGTCTAATGTGGCTATTGTTATTCCGCCATTATTCGTGAAAGCCTTAAAAAAGGAGGAATTTTTGAGTAAATTCTAACTACAAAAACATACTGGAAATCAATATGGCATCAAACATATCGACTGCATACAGAAATGTAAATAGCTTGTACCCGCTCGTGGTGAAACATGATGGAACAGTAGTCGAACGGTACGCTGTAGTTGTTATCAGAATTAAGGGGGAAGTTGTCCACCACAGTTGCCAGAACGTTGTCGTTATTAATCTGGACATAATGATTACGGTCTGAGCGAGTCTCCTCTGGCCAGAATCCGATAGCGTACCCAAGCAAGTGTAGCAGTTCGCCATGCTGTTGGTGTGTGAGACAGTGAATTTGTGGCCATCGGTTAGTCATGGAGGGCCAAGCATATGAAGGAATTTCCAACACAGGCACTTTTGTCAGCCATAGTGATATCTTACCTGATTCTCGCAATCCTCAGAAATATAGAAATCTTGACCAGTTGTGGATACCATGCCAATGAAGGACCTGCAGTCATCAGCATGCCTCTGTATCTTCAGGTGCGGGCCACTGTACCCTGTAGACACTTCCATTAAGTTAATACAAGTTGCCTGCTTCCATTCCAAGATAGCCATCCAAACCTTGTATCGGTTGACATATGCTGTAATAAAAAATATAGCTATGATATTGCTAACACACGCGCATCTTTTAGCAATTCAGTATTTTGTAAAATGGACCATGGGAATTCAGCCTTAATCCATTTTTTATAAAAAGAAAAAAAAAGTTTATGCAATTTGCAGTGAATATCACAGGTTTACAGTCCAGAGAGAGTAATCTGAACACATGTGATGCAAAAACAAAACGCAGAAATTTTCATTTTCGGGAGAGTTGATTCATTTTACAGTATCTGATCGGTTTTGCTTATAGGCGTTTCTGCTGCCACACGACTACTATACAATGAAATTACTGAGTGATAGATTATATTGAGAAATGGGCTATAAAGGTTCCATTTGTCTTAATACCTTGGTTATAACGGAATTCATAACTTGTGGAATTGTCACACACCGAATGTCACCTTGCAAAGAATTCAAGGCTCGATTGAAAACAGACTTTCACTTGCATTTTTATTGTATTGCATTAGCAATTTTAATCAATCGCATGCTCTGATAAGGTTTGTCAAATGCTAAACTGCATATTCAAATCAGGCCCAGAAATTATATATTGAGTTAGTAATAACTAATAAGCAACTCTATCTAGAAGTTGAATAAGATGTTGGTGCTCCATCGCTTTTATTGATCAACTGGAATACAGTAAAGGAGCCTTTCAAGTGCCTTTTGATGAGAAATCTTCATTCTTTGTTTTATATATCTTTAAATAAGGCCAGACGAAGCCAAGAGAGCAACTAACCATCATAGAAGGCAAAGGGAATAAGAGGGAAGCCACCATCGTCGCTCCAGTATGCGGTGAGGTTTGAAGACGCTTTTCTACCATGCAGTATTGCTTGCTGTTCGGGAGTCAGCATGAAATCGTGATCGTCATGGAAAACCTCTGGTGGATATACCTGTTGAGTATATTGGGTTGTGTATATATATATATATATATATATAATATATATATATATATATATGTGTGTGTGTGTGTGTGTGTGTGTGTGTGTGTGTGTGTGTGTGTGTGTGTGTGTGTGTGTACGTGTGTGTGTGAGTGTGTGTATGTTTAAAAATATGTATATATATACATATATTATATATACACACATATATCTATCTATCTATAGAAATCTATATCATGTATATATATATATATATATATATATATATATATATATATATATATATATATATATATAGAGAGAGAGAGAGAGAGAGAGAGAGAGAGAGAGAGAGAGAGAGAGAGAGAGAGAGAGGTCCCAACTCCGATGACGGTATTTATTCAAGAGAATGATAGTAAATCTTGTTTTATATTTATAGGTGATTTTAATGCTCACCACCGAGACTGGCTGAATTCTGTCCCCAACTGACCGACATGGCACTTCTGCATTAGATTTCGCAGATGTAGTTGGGTGTGAGTAGTTAGTCCGTGGTGCAACTCACAGGAATGGCAGTCTTTTGGATCTTTAGCTAACTGATGTGAGAGGGGTAGTTGATGTAGACTCCATCGCGCCAATAGGTTCTTCCAACCACTGTAGTCTAGCATGTAAGATCCAGCTGGACTTCCCTATGCCAGATTTTACGCTAACTAGACAAGTCTTCTTAAAGTCTTGAATTAACTGGAACGGTGTCTACCATACTTTTGATGGCATTGTTTGGCGAAATGTTTATAATGCTTCTTGTCCTGTTAAATCTTTAAATTTGTTATTGTTGGACATCATAACGAGGTTTATACCCAGCAAAACTCTGAAATCTCGTTCACATGATAAAGCATGGTTTAATGAACGGTGTCACCAGGCTTATAGGGACAAACATGCTGCCTACAATCTCTGGTCTGCTAACCGTACTCGTCTTTGTTGGGAGAATTATGTTGCTATGCGAAACACCGCAACTAATGTTTATAAGGAGGCTAAATCTGAATATAATGCTCATTTGAAAGTTCTCTCACAAGCCTCACAGCCGCATAAATGGTGGTCAACACTAAAAACATCTCTGGTCTTGAGCCCTCTATTCCTCCTTTAATGAAATCTGATGGTAGGCCGTCATCTCCTTTGTAATTTAACCCGGGACGTCCGGGGTAAAAGGCCGGGTTTTGGTGCCTGACGTTAAGGGTTCATGACGCCATCGTTTCTAGAGGCGGAGCCCATCTCCTGGTCAAAAACAAGCTCAGTACCCTTGCTTCTGCGCACGTGACAGTGTTTCTTCCCCAGGCCCCTTCACTGAGCGTTAGATCAGGTGCCAGTTAGAATAAATTATTTTTATTTAAACCAAGAAAAAGATCGCTAAACAGGCAACTGTCACCAGTGGTTATTGTACTCTTACAACTTTCATATCTCTTTGCAATAGTACTTCAAGGAAAAAACAATTTACAAGCTAAAAGAAAAAAAAATGCAAACACCATGTAAATTTGCATTATTTCCAGTCGTAAACACTTTGTCCCAAAGAGAATCTGTTGGCTTCAGCTTCGTGTATATAAAGCTTATTACTTTCATAAAAACAAAACATGTTATATGTTGTATATACCTTATAAAAAGGAGTTATATTTTTAGATTATCCGTGAATATTATTTTGACTGTAGGTGTTCAAAAATCGAGTATTTATGATTGCATTCGGACAGCGAGGTGCGATGACGGCATATTTCTTATTATCAAGAGTGTAAATGCCTTGCATGTAATCACTTGATATATTTGAGTAATTGTATTGCTGTTGCTACGTGTTCATTGTAACAGACATTAAATGAATGCAGGCAGGGGAAAGTGAAAATATGCGGATAATAAATATAAAGAAATATTAATGACTGAATAGAGAGAGGTAGAGAGAGCTTGATAGATTAAGAGAGAGAGAGAGAGAGAGACAGAGATAGAGAGACAAAGAGGCAGAGAGAGACACACGCAGAAGCAGAGAAAGAGGCATAAAGAGAGAGAATGATGGAGAGAGAGAGAGAGAGAGAAGAGAAAGTCAAAAGACTTAATTCCATTATTTGCAATGGTTCTTCTTTGTTCATATGCAGGGCAGTGTACAGTAATACAAACTAAATGAAGTTAATAGCAAGTTCATTCGTAGGGGAATTATAAAATAAGATCAAATAAATTGGCCACATCATTAGAAATAAAGGTACATAGTATGGCTTTTCATTTAATTATTAGATGCCAATGACAATTCAAAAGAAACCAATTTCCTTTTGAAAGTAATTAGATTGGAGATGTTTCTAATATTTTGTGGTAGGTTAATCCCGGTACCGGATCCTCGTACCTGTTTCCGTGTATAACCTCTTTATGAGCAGAGAGTTGGTATGTCTGGTTTGAATGCCTGTTTTGTTACCAATTATTTGTAGGTGCATAAACCAATGAGGATATTCACCCTATATGAATATATGAATGGATATGCCTATGCCCTATTGACATTTTGATTGAACGTTTAACAAGTTTCGTGTAGAGGTTATATAGTCATATTTATTTCCGAGAGAGAGAGAGAGGGGGGGGAGGAGACAGAGGGGGGTTGTGCAGTCATGTTTATGGAAATGAACTTGGAGAGAGAGAGAGAGGAGAGGAGGGGGGGGAGCCGTTAGATTTTATACACATTCTGGATGTGATTCCCACGCCGCCGTTTCTAGACTGAAGTGTAGGATAGTTTCGCCGCACATTTTGCGCCCGGCAGCGGCAATCTGTGACGTCACTCCCAAACCTAGGTCGTCCGGGGTTTGGAGAAAAAAAAATGACGGCCGTAGTGTTACATATAGTCCGTTAGAGAAAGCTACCTTGTTAGCAGATTTTTTTATTTCAAAACAAAGTTTAGAAGTTGTTGAACTTTCTCCTTCATGTCAACCATTGCCATGTTTTAATTCATTTGCTTTCAGGTCCTCTGAAATCAAGTATCTGTTATCAGAACTAGATGAATATGATGGAGTAGACCCTAATGGCTTGTTTCCATTGATTTTGAAAAGACTAAATGGCCAATTAGCTCCTAAATTAGCCTTTTAGTTCTTAAAGGATCATTTTCAGAGTGCTGGCGCTTTGGTAATGTTACTCCTCTTCCCAAGGACCCACTACAGTCTTCACCTACTGAATATAGGCCCATTTCAATTACACAAATTTTATCCAAGGCTTTTGCACGTTTGCTGGTCAAACTTCTTTCTGTACATTTGAGACCGTTTCTTCCAGAGACTCAGTTTGGTTTTAGAAAGGGACTCAGCTGCAATGATGCACTGTTTATGTTGGTGCATGAAATGCAGTCCGCTTTAGATAAGGGTCATGAGTCAGGACATGTCTCGCTGAATTTTAGTGCAGGTTTTGACACTGTTAATCACAAGGGTTTAATTTTTAAGCTACAGTCTTTTGGTGTAAGTAGTGAAGTTTTATGTATTTCAACTGAATTTTTAACATATGCAGCAGCGTGTTCATGTTGATGGTAGTTTTAGCTCGTATTCTCGTGTGTCTTCTGGGGTTCCTCAGGGTAGTGTTCTCGGCCCTTTACCCTTTTTCTTATATACAAGCGATATGTGGCCTGGCATTACTAATAAAATGTTGGCATATGCTGATGATACTTCTCTCTATGCTGATATTCCTTCCCCGGCAACTAGGCAAATAGTAGCTGACAGTCTCACTGTAGACCTGATGATGATTCAATCTTGGTGCTCTCGGTGGGGAATGAAATTAAATCCTACTGAGTCTAAAGAAATGATTGTAAGTCGGTCTCGAACGCAGTTGCCTTAGCATCCAAGTCTGCTGATTAAGGGAGTCTTAATCATTTCAGTGGATAACTTAAAGCTCTTAGGTGAAACCTTTGATTCAAAGCTTACATTTGAATTGCATATTAGGAATATGGCCAGGGCAACTTCATCAAAGTTAGGCATCATTCGCAAGTGCAAGAAGACCTATGAAGATGACATTACACGTAGGTGCTTCTTTTCTTTTATTCTGCCGCATTTTAAGTATTGTTCTCCTGTGTAATTACTGCTGGACTCACACTTAAGACAGCTTGGTCGTTTTTTTTTTTTTTTAATTCCATTAAATTTGGTCATTGGACATCGTAAAGTTATTGGGGCTCCTTCAGTCTTATACAAGATTGTAACCGATAATTCACATCCCCTCTGTGTTTTTAACTGATTTTTATCAACTTGTAAGAATTACCAGGTTATATGACCCTCAGTTCAATGACATTTCATATAAGGTGATCATCTACAAAGTTTTCTAGATGCTTTTTATTGCTATTTGTAGACTTTGGAATAGATTGCCTACAGAGATTGTAACCTCTTCGACTCTTGATATATATATATATATATATATATATATATATATATATATATATATATATATATTATATATATATATATATATATAAGTGTGTGTGTGTGTGTGTGTGTGTGTGTGTGTGTGTGTGTGTGTGTGTGTGTGTACATACATACATATATATACATATATATACATATATTATATATATAATATATATATATATATATATATTTATATATATATATATGTATGTATACATAAATAAATAAAATATAATATATAATATATATATACATAAATAAATTAATATATATATGTACATAAATAAATTATATATATATAATATATATATATATATATTATATATATGAATATATATATATATATGTGTGTGTGTACATACATACATTATATACATATAATAATATATATATATATATATAATATATATATATATATATATATATATATATATATGTGTGTGTGTGTGTGTGTGTGTGTGTGTGTGTGTGTGTGTGTGTGTGTGTGTGTGTGTTTTACATAAATAAATAAAATATATATATATAATATATATATATACATAAATAATATAATATATACATATACATAAATAATTTATATATATATATATATATATATATATATATATATATATATATGAATATATATGAAAGATGGAATAATGTATTACCGTATTTTTATCGTTGTACGAGTGGGAGAGCGGCCGTCTTGCATTCACGTGCATTGGCGGCGAGGGATCGAATCCCGATCGGAGAGGTTATAATGTTCATAATATAATATAAATATATATATATATAAATATATATATATATATATATATATATATATATATATATATATATATATTATATATACTTTGATAAAAGTTTGAATTTTGATTGTAATTTCCAAATAATTGCAACCGGTTCCCACTGGGATGACGCTTGGGTCCAAATCATTTTATGTCCTCCCTTTTCATAATGAATTAAGGTTATTATCAATTTAACTTGATATTGGTATTGTTTCAATGTTGTCATAAACGGTATTTTGACTATGTAACAATAGAATTTTGTACGAATTTGAAAAATTTAATTGTGATATAAGACTTTTCTAGTCAATGTGCTCTTTGTCATTTGTATTATTATTGTTTAAAATTCAGTATTATGTATTAATTCTAATCTTAATGTAATATGAAGAATTCATTGTTTTGTTTCATTTTATGATCTTGATATTGTAATTGCTTAACATGTTCCAAAAATGTTAATTCTACATTTAAATGTCAATTTAATATTTACTGTAACTTTAATACTATTGGTATTGATTCATTGAGTTACCATTATTTGATGTAATTTTATTTATATCTGTGATGTTATTGTTTTACAGTTGTGTGATACTGATGATGGGTGAAGAAAACCCGAAAC